TATCCATTTTCCTATCATGAACATTTGTTTCCTTTTTCTCTTCCCCCCATTATGTAAATTGCTGCTATGAATACTCTTGTACAGTGTCCTGATACACATGTGCAAGCATTTTTCTAAACAACTGTTGGCTTGGAGAGTATACAAGGCATAGCCAAAAAGCTTTCCAAAGTGGCTGTGCCAATATGCACTCCCAACAATATCTTCTCCTTAAGCTCCTTATTTTCCCAAAGCACAGCTAGGCTGCCATATTGTTTTTAAAAATTTATTTATTCATTCATTCATTTATCCAGAGACAGGGCCTCATTATGCTTGCCCAGGCTGGTCTGGAACTCCTGGGTTCAAGCAATCCTCCCACTTCAGCCTACGGAGTAGCTGGGACTATAGTCAAATGCCACTGAACCCAGCTTTTGTTTAAAAATTTAAATGGAACCCTGAGCATAATACAAAAAAAAATCCTTAAAACTAAACAGCATAATTTACTGTTCCAGTTCATGTCCCTTCTTTGGGGAGACTCTACTCAGTCAACTTGTTCCAGGGGCCAACTCATCTTGCCAGGATAAAAGCCTCCTTTATTCAGTCTTGCCTTCCCCAGAGTCCCATCTTCCTTTGTCTCCAGCCCTAGTCAAAGAAAATAAAGACCCTCCCCTCCAAAAACAAAAAAAAAGCAAACAAGGATTAACATGCTACCTACAAAGGCACGGCCCTGCCCACAATGTAGCTGTCCTTTCACATCACCGTGCATTATGTTGTTTGTAACTGTTCTGAGCGTCTTCATTCCAGAATGAATTTTTGCTTTACTTTCACATACCCAGAAGACCCATTAAACTATTTTTTCAAAAGAGCAGTCATTCCCTAGAGATACATTTTACAACCATCCCTGGAGTAGTTCTGTTGGTTAAAGCCTCTTAGCTTGCTAGTATTCAAAACTAACTTGAGCTAGTGTAAGCAGAAAAGGACTTTGTTCTAAGGATACAAGGATATTGTAAGGCACCAAAAAAGAATTTCTAGTTAGCCAAATTGGGGTAAGGTACCCTTCTGTAATCTAATCAACACTGGCTAGAAAGATGAGGTCATAATGGCTTCTAAAAATTCTTTGCTGTGGATGAGAAGATCACTATGAATGTTCAAGAAATGTTTTGGAAATGGCTGAATGGTAGGGAGGGGGCAGATGAACAATTTCTAAATAGCAAAAACAGTAGCGGATGTCCCATTGTTCCTTTCTCCTTTCCAAAGAGTCGACAAGTATTTTAAAAGTCAATTATCTTTATAAAAACTCCACATTGATAAAAACAAAAATTCGAGATTTCAGCTATGTCTTTGATAATATACATGCATGTATACATATACACATAAACATATATTCTCCCTCTCAAAGATAATTAATTTAGACCCTTCCTTGCCCTAATAGCACAAAGAAGTATAAAGTAGTTTCTCAGCTTTGGCATTACTGATATTCTGGGCCAGTCAGACAATTCTTTGTTGTGAGGGGAAGGGGACTGGTCTATGTGTTGCAGAATATTTAACAGCATCCCTGGCCCCTACTCAGTAGATGATGGTAGCACTACCCACCTCCACATAGTGACAAGCAAAAATATCTCCAGATATTGTCAAATATCCCTGGGGGACAAAAATCATTCCAATTAAGAACCACTGGTATAAACACAAAACATATTTGAAACAATGCAAGAACAAAAAAGTAAAGTATAATATACAAAATTGTATTGTAAAAAGTCCTAAAATTTCCATTTTTGCTTTAATATTCTTGAGAGAACATATGCAAATCACTTTCCATTTTATTCTGCTGGAAAACAATGGTGGTACAAGAGTCTCATGCTGTTTAATTCCTACTTGGAATATGTTTTCAGATTTATTTTTATTTTTTTAGAAACAGGGTCTTGCTCTGTCCTCCAGGTTGGAATACAGTGGTGTGATCACAGCTCACTGTAGCCTCAAACTCCTGGGCTCAATTGATCCTCCTGCCCCAGCCTCCCAAGTAACTGGGACTATGGGCATGGCTAAGTTTTTAATTTTTGCAGAGACAGGGTCTCAATATGTTGCCCGGATTGATCTCAAACTCATGGCCTCAAGCAATCCTCTTGCCTCAGCCTCCCAAAGTGCTGGGATTACAGATGTAAGCTACTGTGCCTGGACATTTTTCAGATTTTTACCAAGAGGGTGCTACAAAGAAAAATACAATAGTAAAAACAGAAAGGAAATGACTTCTGAAGAGACCAAATCTCATCTTTGTGTTCCCTGTAGGAGCTAGCACTTAATATGTACTAAGTAAAAATCAATTTTATAACTTTTTAGTTTTGAAAGTCTTGGATAAGATCAAAGGTAAAAATGAGACTCTAAGCTCTGTCATTTTGTTTCACACTGTCACTATCCCTAGCCTTTTCACAATTGAGCTTTGACCATGGCAGAGAAATTAAATGAAATGCTTAGAATTGTGTTGAATAGAACACATATTAATTTTTATTAAGGCTAATGTCAAGTATGACATTAATTACTAGAAGACTAAAACTCAATCCAACATACTTAACTGTATTTTCTATGTCCCCGGGGAGAAACAGAAGAAGAAAGGGAGAGATGATTCAAGACTTCAAGGAACTTACAAACTTGTGAAATCAGACTTTAACTTGCATATTAACAACTTTAGAGAAACTTGAAAAGGGGGCACAAAGGAGAAGGTACAGAATATATAGTATAGTCAATATATAGTATATATGTAGATACCTTTACTTATTTATTTATTTATTTTTTTACTGAGCTCATTCTTCTGCAGAACACTTTTAGGAGAGAAAGTAAAATTATTATTTTTCAGTTCAAGTTCAGACCTCTAAGATGATTATTTTAAAGAAGGTTATTTATATCACAGTGAAATGGTAATTATACTGATCTGACAGGAAAAGGACTCAAACTCAGGATTGTAAGATTTTAGTTCAGTGTCTGCCATTAACTAGCTATGTGATCTTAGGTTTTTCTTAGGCTTTTTTAGGGGGTGGGAGGGTGGAAGGGACTAGACTACATGGCCTTCGGGCATCTTAAAGTCAATGGTCAATCATTAGCTATGGAACAAGGTCCATATTTATTATTGCTTAGAAACATTAGATTGTAAACAACCAAAGTATCTATCAATAGGAAATAGGTTAATTATCATACATCCACTAAATGTAATACTATGTGTTCAAAAAAAGAATAAGCAAACTCTTTAACTCCTAAAATGGAAAGCTCTCCTAGATACATGTTAACTGAAAAAAGCAAGGTGCTGCAGAGTATGTAAAGGAACACTGGTATATGTAAACTCTTTATATATATATATATATATATAGTTATATATATATCATATATATGATATATATAATGAACACATGTATAATATATGTTCATCATACATAAATATATAAATGAAAGAATTGACAAGAAACTAATAGCATTTAATATCTGTCAGTAGAACTGTGCCAAGTGACAGAAATACAGTTATAGCGAGATTTCACTGTGTGCCATTTTATGCTTTTATTTTTTTGTTTTGTTTTGCTTTGTTTTTTGAGACAGAGTCTCACTCTGTTGCCAGGGCTAGAATGCAGTGGTGTCATCACAGCTCACTGCAACCTCCAACTCCTGGCTCAAGGGATTCTCCTGCCTCAGCCTCCCAAGTAGCTGGAACTACAGGCATGTGCCACAAGGCCCAGATAATTTTTTCTATTATTTTGTAGAGACGGGGGTCTTGATCTTGCTCAGGCTGGTTTTGAACTCCTGGCCTAAAGTAATCCTCCTGTCTCAGTCTCCCAGAGTGCTAGGATTACAGGCATGAGCCACCGTGCTCAGCCTGCTTTTTAAATTTCATAATATGGAAATATATAGTCAAAGAATTACGTTTTAAATATTTACCCATCTTATAAAAACATTTCTTTTAAAACTTGGAAAAAATAAACCAGAAAAGTTTAGTGTTTTTAAACTATATAAACATCTGTATTCACTAAGATGAAAGCAATTTGTATTTTCTTTCAAGACCATTTTCTGCTTCTCCGCACACTGTAGGTAGCACCTGAAGTTATTAAGGTTCTATTTACCCAAGATAAAATCTAGTCATACTAGTATTGATTAGCCATTGCATGATAAAAGGCTTTTCTGTAGGTTCCTGCAAATGTATACACATCCCCTTCTACAATGTCCTTTGTTCTATAATACATTAAAGTTGCTTTTTCTCTATGCTCCTAACTGTAGTTCTAGAGTTATTAAAACAACTGTGTTTACCTGGTGCATTCCATATATATAGAAACTCAACTACTGTATATATTACTTAAAAAGAAATTTATAAATGTCATATGGCTTATAAATTGTCAGTTTAATTCAATTTTTGTGGTAAAATACACCCAAAATAAAATGTACCATTCTTAACTATTTTTAAGTGTGTAAGTCAGTAGTGTTAAGTACATTCACATTGTTTTGCAACCATCACCCGCATCCACCTCTGGAACCTCTTCATCTTGCAAAACTGAAATTCTGTACCAATTAAACAACTCTATTTCCCCCTCCCTGCAGCCTCTGGCAACCACCATTTTACTTTGTCTCCATGAATCTGATTACTCCAAGTATCTCATATAAGTGGAATCATACACCACAACATTTATCTTTTCGTGACTGGCTTATTTCATTTAGCATAAAGTCTTTTCAATTGTTCTTTTGTCCAAGCATCTGCAATGCATAAAGTCTTCCAGCTTGAGTTATTAAAATTCTAAATACAGAAATATTGAAGCATGAGACAAAGAAAGGAAAACTATAAAAACTAGAATTTTTGGAAGTTTTTATCAAAAGTACTGTACAATTTAAAAATCTACTTTGCCTATAACTGGAAATTTCAAAGGGAAACTATATCTACATTAGAGCAGTCTTACACAAACAGTCCATCAATATAAAGAAAGAACATAATATATTTTAAAGCTTTAGAGAAAAAAAGGAAAAATATAAAAAAAAAGTAAAAAAAGTAAAATTTAATAAAAAAAAAAAAAAGAAAGAACATAAGAGGAAGAAGGCCTAAATGAATTTTATTGGATTATCATTAAAATGTACAATCAAATCAGATTTTAAATCCTTGGGAAAATGAAAAACTCAGAAGTTGTGAGCATGTACATATAAGTTGTAGCATATCATAATGCATTATGTTAATATCTTCTGATAGCTATTTCATAAAGAGGTCACAAAATATCCTTAAATAAAAAGAGTTGTTTGGACTTGACAAAGCTGTCAGGAATTAAAAAAAAAAAAGAAAAGAAAAAAGAGATAAAAAGAGTTGTGTTTTTCAATATCCATTTCTGTGGGAATTTTACTTATATACATGTTCATCCAGAGTATGTGAGACATTATTTTCCATTTGGAATGCTGGACTGCCTTCACAACAGAAGCCTATTTTAAAAACCAACTTATTTTAAAACAAGGTTGATCTGGAATGGCTCAGTTTTTTATGGCTTAAAATTCTGGCAATAAATAACTTTCTTATCTGAACCTAGAAAACTATCCCTAATACCGAAACAGGTATACTTGGCAGAAGCAGTCTAGTAAGTCTGCTGGTCTGAGACAGGTCAGGACTCTGGATGGAGGTTTCCAAAACAAGATGAAGGTAAGAGTGCTTTTAGAAAGTTGGCAGTTAAATCTGTAGAAACATTGGTGAGCTCTGAAAAGAAAAAGGCAATTTTTATTTGAGATGATATTATAAACAAAATAACCTGAAGTAAACAAGAAAACTAAAGAGTTGCTGACTCTCATTCTCTCTGTGCCAGTAAAGCTTTAAATCAAGAAGTAACCCATAGATTGATCTGGAGTATTACAGCCCAAGTTACAATCAACAGGCTTAAGAAAAAGGCTCATTAATAACTTTAATCTGGAAGAAAAGCTTATACTACATACCATATAACATATTATACATTAATTATACATCTATTCCAGCTCCTCCATTTGTGTGGCTTTGGACAAACTACTTAATTTCTCAATATCAAATCTACTAACCCTGAAGTGAAGATTATAATGGTGTCCAACTCTAATTGTTGTGAGGAGTGTTTGTAAATCATTTAGTACCTACCATGTGTAGTGAATTATAAACATCCAACACCACTAAAGGTCAGCTATTATTATTACTAAATGCCCCAATTTGTGTTGATTCAGAGATGTACCAACTTGCGATTCAAAGACAAATAAAACAAAAAAGAAGATGATTCTCAGGTAGAGAAGATATAATTACTATATAAGGGCTAATGAGTCACCTGAGAATCAAATTAAAAAATTTTAAAGTATCTCATGAACTACAGAGCAATTTTTGATTATTAAAGGTCAGGATTTCTCCATCTCACAGTACTGATGTTTTGGGCCAGGTAATTCTGTGTTGTGGGGTGCTTTCCTGTGCACTGTAGGATGTTTAGTGGCATCTCTGGCCCACTAGATGCCAGTAGCACCCCTTCCCACCCTGCATGTTTGTACTGCTGTGGGCTATCCACATGAGCCTCAGAGGCCAAGCTAGGGCATCAGTTTCCATTCCTGCTCCCCTGGGCACTCCTAGTGTGTGCCTGCCTCTCTGGCCAGCAGTCTGTCCAGGATCTGGGCATCACCACCTACACATGGGGCTCTCTGCTGTTGGTAAATGCCAGGTGCCAAAAGGAGGAATCTCAGTCTGGGAGTTAAAGATTCAGCAAATCACCTTGGTTGGCCAGAGAACCAAGTTGAGAAGGCTTGGTATTCTGGAAGGAGAATGGTGGGCCCAGATCTGAGTGTCACTGGGGCAAAGTGAAATAGATGGAGTTGGCCGCAGATCTGCCCAACCAGGCCCCCTCTCCTTCTGGCCACTTGATTTTCATCAGGTAAATGACTCCAGCTGATGCAACTGGAGTCAAAGGAACTGTAAAACCTACTCCAGGCAGACACGGTGGAGCAGGACAGCAGTTTTCACCCTCAGTTTTGCCTTTTGGTCCACAAAATCTAAAATATTTACTATTTTGGCCTTTACAGAAAAAAATCTGTCAATCCCTGTTTTAAGTGCTTATCTTACCAACATATAGAAATGTGTCACAGTTTTTATGTTTATCCTATACAATATCATCTATGTAGCAGAAAGAATTATGTACAAATAAGCTGAAAGTGTTTTCCTGGATAAATACGCACAGAGCCTACACTTTAGTTACAAATTGTTGCTAAGGTCTAAGAGGTCTCTTTTCACCTCAGAACTAAACGAGAGAGACTTTAGCAATTAATCTCTAATAACTGGCCCATTGCTATTACTTTACAGCAGAGGCCACAGGTTGGAAACTATGAAAACAACTCTACCTTGCTTAAAAAAGCCTTCAAAGGTTTTCCAAAGCTTGTAAGAAAATTAATGGTTTTTATTCCCTGGAAAGACCGTCCACCATCTAGCCCCATCTTCCCTCCCTAACTTTATTTTCAGACACTACATGTGCCTCTCTCTCTCCAACCTGACTCTCAAGCACCCTTGATTTTTGACAGCATCAAGCTATCTTTTCCCAAAGGTGTCCCCAACAAGCTATTAGAACTGCTAGAAACTTCTGTGCATTTTTGTTGGCACTCTTCCCTTTCCATGGAATGTTCTTCCCTATCTTCTTTACCCAGCGAACTTTAGGATCCAACTTCAACATCCTTCACTCAGCCCACACCTATATTCTCAAAGCACTTTGAGTAGACTTCTATTATATTACACTGTGGTAGTTACTCCCGTGGCTGTCTCCCTTGATAGGTGGTGAGTGCTTGGAGAGCAGGGACATTATATTTAGCTGTAAATCTCCAGGGCTTAATGTAATGCCCTGCCTTCAGCAGGGTTGGGGAACCTGCAGCCTCAAGGCCACATGTGGCCCCCCAGATCCCCAAGTATGGCTCCTCGACAAAATCCAAACTTCAGAGAACAAATCCCTTTATTAAAAGGATTTTTCCTGCAAAATTTGGATTCAGTCAAAAGTCCACACTCAAGGATCCAGAAGGCCACAGGTTCCCCACCCCTGGATGAATTAATTATTTGGAGGGTATTGTGTGGCTCATTCTGTCAAAAAGATAATTCTTCCACTTGCTACAGGACCTACCCCTCTTCCTTCGTTACCTAAAATTCTATCCTCTTTATTTTTCTTTTTCTAAATTTTTTGTAGAGATGTCTCACTATGTTACCCAGGCTGGTTTTGAACTCCTGGCCTCAAGTGATCCTCCCGCCTCAGCCTCCCAAAGTGCTAGAGTATTATAGACATCAGCCACAGCTCCCAGCTCTTTATTTTTTTCTTTTTCAATCCTCTTTAGAGTTATTCCTTTGATTTAGAGAACAAAGACTACAAAGCTCTCTGATGGCAAGTCTGCATCCTTTCATCTTTATGTATGTTTATCTTATTCCTGGTACTTAGTGTAAGTCTCCAAGAATTACGTAGAGAATTATTTCAATCATGCAAATTACCTGAAATAGAATCAAGGGGAAAAAAATGGTGATTCCATGCACTAAGTCCTTTCCCTCTGCAGTGATGGTTTGTTGGTGTTTTGCTCTTTTTTATCTTTTAATTTGCTTTTTTATTTTGAGACAGAGTCTCCCTCTGCTGCCCTGGCTAGAGTGCGGTGGCATCAACCTAGCTCACAGCAACCTCAAACTCCTGGGCTCAAGCAATCCTTCTGCCTCAGCCTCCTGAGTACCTGGGACTACAGGCATGCGCCACCATGTCCGGCTAATTTTTTCTATATATTTTTAGTTGTCCGGCTAATTTCTTTCTATTTTTTTAGTAGAGATGGGGGTCTCACTCTTACTTAGGCTGGTCTTGAACTCCTGAACTCAAACTCCACCTGCCTCAGCCTCCCAGAGTGTTAGGATTACAGGCGTGAGCCACCGCTCCCAGCCCTTTAATTTACTTTTTATTTATTTTTTTAAGTTTTGTTTTTAGAGACAAGGTGTCATTCTGTTGCTCAGGCTAGGGTGCATCATAGCTTGCTGCAACCTCAAACTGCTGGCCTCAAGGGATCCTCCTGCCTCAGCCTCCCAAGTAGCTGGGCCTACAGGCATGCACCACTACACCTGGCTAATTTTTCTATATTTTGTAGAGGTCTTGCTCTTGCTCAGGCTGGTCTTAAACCACTACCTCAAACAATTCTCCTGCCTCCGCCTCCCAAAGTGCTAGGATTACACCTAGCATGAGCCACTGTGCCTGGCCTTTTGTCTTTTTCAAAAAAATAGAAATAAAGATAAATCAATGAATGTATTTCATGTTAAATCCAAGCCTTCAAATTGTAGAAAACCAAAGTAGCCAAAAATTTTTAACCCTACAGATTATCTATAGAACATACATGTGTGTATACATCTAGAAAGAGAATGCGTTTTCATTCTCTTAAAGGTAGTTTGAAGAAAATTTTAAGGAAATAAAACCAACCAATATGTAGTAAAGATGAACATCTTGGATAGTATGTTGGTAGAGTTTAAAAAACAAGGAGCCTAACATATTGCTCTGCACCATCCCTTAGAGCAGGTAACTTTTTATTTTTTTTAAAGGCAGGGTCTTACTCTATGGCCTAGGCTGGAGTGCAGTGGCACATCATAGCTCACTGTAAACTCCAACTCCTGCACTCAAGCGATCCTCCCATCTCAGCCTCCCAAGTAGATAGGACTACAGGTGTTGTGAGCCACCATGCCCAGCTAATTAAAAAAAAATTTTTTTGTAGGCAGGGTCTCACTATGTTGTCTAGGCTGGTCTCAAACTCCTGGCCTCCCAAAGTGATGAGATAATAGGTATGCACCATGGCAACCTGCAGTAGGTAACTTTTGAAACAGTACTGGAGAAGACCAGGAAGTTAATAGTCAGAAATGTGCACCATATATCACTGTAAGCAATGATATATGGATACCATATGTACATCATGACAGCACTTAACCCACAGACAAGCAGGGTCGCCAATTCTGACCTTCTCCATCTTTCTAAGTGACAAGAGGTTGGGGAGTTAAATGGAATTCGTCCTTAATAGTTTTACTCATAAATTCATTAAAGAGGTTAGCACAAAGGGTCTTGGGATTTAGTAGAAAACTCGTGATAATACAAATAGCCAAATGTTTTCCAGACTTCAGAATCATTCAAGTTTCAGTTGTACAATTAATTTTACCTGTAAATTGACTCAAGTAAAATGGTTTTTTTACTTAAGTAGTATTTCAAAAAGCAACCACCTCTATTGTAAACAGAAAACCAGTATCACTTGGCACAAGTAGATGTTACCCACAGTTTGTGAACAAAAATGCTATTAAATTCTAGTTGTGTGCAGTTGTTGCCTACAAAAGCATTAGAGAGGTGGTGAGGATCACCAACCTCAAACTAAGGACATTCTTCCTGATAAAAATTAAAAGGATTGAAAAAGAATTGAAAAGTGAATAACTTTCCCTCCCTAGGTCTCAATGCCATTTATGCTGGGTCCCTGTACCACCTAAAATCATTGTTTCAAAAACCTTGCGGAACCCAAATCTTCCACCCACTCCCAGACCTTATAGCTCCCAAAGGAATGTAATTGCCACTCTACTGAGCTTAAATAAAAGGAACAGATTTCGTTATCTCTTGCAGTAGGCAAAACCTTAATTTTAGCACTCATCCACTCAGAGCTGTAGGTTTAAAAAAATCTGCTAATGTCAAAAACAGCTAGTCCCTGAAAGACAAGGCCACTTCGCTTCCACTAACTTTATTTTTTTGGACAAGAGGGGTCGTAGAAGCCACCAGAACACAGATCAGGACTAACAATCAAGGACTAATGTGTGTGACTCTTCCTCTAAAGGCACTTACTTGGCAGAGGCCTGAGCAGCCACTCAAATGGCTGGGGTCTGGTTCCTACTAGAGGGGGCCACTTTTCTTCACTGCCCCTGGGGCTGGAGCACTCTCAGTGGGGACGGACTGCTGGGCCTGAGTGGCTGGAGCTGTGGCCTCAGTGACAGGTGATGCAGTGTCAGGGAGCTCCTGAGATAGTGTCTGGCTAGGTAGTGGTGGAGTAACTGGATTCTCAGGAACCTCCAGGACATGTGATGACTGCCTTACAGAAATCTCCTGGACTACAGAGGTGCTCTGGAGGGCCTCCGAGTTCTGACCAGGCGGAGAGACCCGTGAGTCTACAGCCTGACCAGGCCGAGCCTCAGTTTGAGAAGCCTGAGGAAGGATCTGGAGCTGGCTCCCAGAAATGCCTGGAGGCTGACCAACGGAGACCGAGGGCACCACAGGCGGGCCAACAGAGGCCTGGACATCGGGCGGCAGAGGCTGGTCTGATGGGAACATAGGCTGCTGACCAAAACACGGCGGGCCTGCGGAGCCAACTGCCTCTGAACTTTTGTCACCTTCAGGCTTGGGATCCAGATCCTCTTTGCAAAAGTCTTGAGGGGCACCGCTCTCCTGGGCACTTCCCCCTCCGTCTATGTCCTTGTTCTCCGTTTCCTCCTGTTTTTCTGCCAGGCCCGCGACGGTCATTTTCAGGGAGGGCATCCTTCGAGAGCGTTGCCGGCGCCGCTGCATCCGCTGAAAGGTGTCGGAGACGCCGGTGAGGGACAGAGACAAGCGGTGGCTGATGCTCTGGCGCAGGGCTTTCAACAAGGCGCCGGACGGCAAGTACTCGATCTCCTTCGAGGTGTCCTCGGGCAGCTCGATGTTGCCGGCGTACCAGGAGATCCACCAGAGCAGGCTGAAGAAGATGATGATGGAACCCAGGTAGACCAGCGTGTCGAAGAAGAACAGGTTGCAGAAGATGCCGGTGAACAGCACCGCCACGCCCACCGCGTCGAAGATGACGCCGAGCCAGAAGAAATGCCTGCAACGGCCCAGGCCCTGCCGCCTCCTGCTCGTAATCACCGGCGCGCCTGAAAGCTCCATGGGCTCCCGCTGTCGCCGCCGCAAGGTCCGCAGAGGCGACCCAGGCAAGCGGCGCCGCTACCACAAGGTCCAGGGCAGCCGCTGCGTTCCCAAGGCAACGCCGTCGGCGGGCAGGAGGGTGAGGCCCAAGGGCGGGAAAGCAAGGCAGCCTCTAGCCCGCCGGCAGGAGGAAAAGGCGCCTGCCGGAGGCGCGCGTGCGCAGTACGCCCCGTTGGCCGCGCGGCCACCTTCTGCGCCTGCGCAGCGTCTCCCTTCACCCCGTATCGTGTTTGACTCCTGCGCGCCCCCTCAGGCTCTGGGGGTGGTGAGATAAGTGACTTCTCAGGCCGCTGGACCCTGGTCAGGGGAACAGGCTTTGTTCCCGCTGTCTGGGAGGGATAGGAATGTCCTCCGCACAGCTGGGAGTGCAGCTTGGCTTCAGGTGCAGCCACTTTCTGAGCAGTTGGTTTTTTCTGTTTTGGTGAGGAAATGGCGAAATTAGGGTCTACTGTCAGATCTGGATCCCAGTCTTAATCTATTTGCTCCCAGTGACAACTATCACACTAGTGCTAGTTAATAGCAGACCCGGAGGTGAATTCCCTGAGTTTCCCCGCCTCCTCCAGTTTCTCCCCTTGTGTTTGTTGACCTGTTTGCCCAGACCCTTGATAACTTGAAAACAGAAAAGTGGGACTACTTTTCCTCCTACCCCCAACTGAGGAAGGCAGGAAAAACGTGTGAAAAATAGAAAAACTGGCAGGAACCTGAAAATTAAATAGCTTTAAAATGAGCTCATTTCAAGCTTTGACAACAAGGTGCAAGAAAATTAAAACCCCGGATCAGACCTGGTGTTATTCGGGTTATAGTAATGAAAGGTTATAACCAAGTTTAAGCCCTTGGTTGCACCATTGCTAAAGGTGAAATTTTGTTTTTTTAAATAAACTTTTAAATTTTAGAATAGATTTAGGTTTATAGAAACGTTGTAAGCCAGGTGCAGCAGTTCACATCTGCAACCCCAGTACTTTGGTAGGCAAGGCTGGAGGATCGCTTGAGCCTAGGAGTTCAGGAGTTCAAGACCAGCCTGGGCAACATAGACCCGCTCCCACTCCCACCAAAAATCCCAAAATTCTGAAGATAGTACGAAGGGTTCTGTTAGGTTTGTGTATACCGGAAAACCAAGGTTTTTGAAACAATAGCCAGCAGGAGTCTGGAGAGTCCCTGAAGGTTGTAAAATCTAACAGACAGCTGTGGCATTCCTATCCCCCCTGATAAGGAGGGAACTATACCCCACCCCCCTTATCTCTATAGGATGAGACTGGTGCAGGGGTCTCAGAAATTGGTTGTTTAAAAAAGTTTTATTGCAGTGGCTTTTCTGGCCCAGGTACTCACTCCTCCCTGAGAAACCCTCTATAAAACCCAAGTCTTTCCCCTCCCTCAGGTGGACGCTTTTTTGCCTCCACTGGTGTACACCCAGATGCTCAAAATAAACACCATTTTGCTACACACGAAGCTTCGTGTCTCTTTCTCTGCACTGGACCTAACAGGTTCTCCTGTGCTTCCTTTGTTTAATATATTACAAAACTTTTTATTTCTTTTTGTAGGTGTTTTTATGAGTTCAGGAAGCCATATTTTATGAACTACTTGAACTAACCAGTAAGACTACTTGTGAACCCAGGTTGTACCCCTGAAATATTCTCAGGTGTGCCTCGTGCCACACAATAAAAACATGGTCCAACTTTCTAAAGTGTCAGTTTTCTTGGATAGTATTTTAAAACAATATTATAAAACAAGTATAAATTTTCAGAATAGAATTTAAAATCAGAAAGCAGAAGCTTTGGACTAAATACCCAGGATACAAATTTGTTCCTATACTACAGAAGATGGGGGAAAAATTAAAAATAAATTTGTTCCCCCTAGGCTACTCAAGGACACTGGTCATGGTGCCACAACATACACAGGTCTCAGTGTGTTTTCTTTTTCTTTTTAGAGACATGGTCTATGCTCTGTCACCCGTGTTGGAGTATAGTGGTATAATCATAGCTCACTGTGGCCTTGAACTCATGGGCTCAAGGGATCCTCTCACCTCAGTTTCCCAGGTAACTGGGACTATAGGCAAACGCCACCACACCTAGCTAATTTTTCTAATATTCATAGAGACAAGGTCTTGCTATGTTGCCCAGGCTGGTCTCAAGCTCCTGGCCTCAAGTGATTCTTCTGCCTTGGCCTCCCAACACAGTGCTGGAGTTACAGGCATGAGCCACTATACCTGGCCAAGTCTCAGTGTATTTAAATATGGTATATTTTCCAGGAATTTTAGTTTCTTTTTTTTTTTTTTAATTTCGGCATATTATGGGGGTACAGATTTTAAGGTTTCAATAAATGCCCTTTCCCCCCTCCCCACACAAGTCTGAGTTTCCAGCATGACCATCCCCCAGATGGTGTACATCTCACTCATTATGTATGTATATACCTGCCCCTCTCCTCCCTGCCCAATACCCTATTACTGTAGTACCTATGTGTCCACTTAGGTGCTGCTCAGTTAATACCAGTTTGCTGGTGAGTATATGTGGTGATTGTTTTTCCATTCTTGGGATACTTCACTTAGTAGTATGAGTTCCAGCTCTAACCAGGAAAATATAAGATGTGCTATATCACCGTTGTTTCTTAGAGCTGAATAGTCCTCCATGATATACATATACCACATTTTATTAATCCATTCTTGGATTGATGGGCACTTGGGCTGTTTCCACAGCCTTGCAATTATGAATGGTGCTGCTATAAACATTTGAGTGCAGGTGTCTTTTTTGTAGAGTGTCATTGGATCTTTTGGATAGATGCCCAGTAATGGGATTGCTGGATCAAATGGTAGATTCATTTGTATCGCTTTAAGGTATCTCCATATTGCTTTCCACAGAGGTTGAACTAGTTTGCAGTCCCACCAGCAGTGTAGGAGTGTTCCTCTCTCTCCGCATCCACGCCAGCATTTATTGTTTGGAGACTTTTTGATAAAGGCCATTTTCACTGGAGTTAAGTGATATCTCATTGTGGTTTTGATTTGCATTTCCCTGATGATTAGAGATGTTGAACATTTTTTCATGTTTGTTGGCCATTCTTCTGTCTTCTTTAGAAAAGTTTCTGTTCAAGTCCTTTGCCCCACTTTTTAATAGGGTTATTTGATTTTTTCGTGCTGGTTTTTGTGAGTTCTAAGTATATTCTAGTTATCAGGCCCTTATCGGATGTGTAGGATGCAAAAATTTTCTTCCATTCTGTAGGTTGTCTGTTTACTTTCATGAATGTTTCTTTGGCTGTGCAGAAGCTTTTTAGTTTGATCATGTCCCATTTATTTTTGTTGCTGCTGTGATTGCCTTTGGGGTCTTCTCCATAAACTCTTTGCCTAAGCTGATGTCTAGGAGAGTGTTTCCAACATTTTCCTCTAGAATTCTATAGTTTCATACTTAGTTAAGTCTGTTATCCAGCATGAGTTGATTTTGTGAGAGGTGAAAGGTGGGTCCTGCTTTAGCCTTTCTACAAGTGGCTATCCAGGTTTTCCCAGCACCATTTATTGAAAACGGATTCTTTCCCAGTGTATGTTTTTGTCTGCTTTGTCAAAGATTAGATGGCTATGTGAGGATGGTTTTATATCAGGATTCTCAGATCTGTTCCACTGGTCAATATTCCTATTTTGTGCCAATACACAGATTGATTTATTACTACAGCTTTGTAGTATATTTGATATCTGGCATATTAATCCTCCCATTTTGTTTTTGTTGCCTAGAATACTTTTGATATTCGGGGTTTCTTTGGTTCCATACGAAACGTAAAATTATTTTTCTATATCTGTGAAGGAATGCTGATGGGATTTTAATAGGTATTGCATTGATACTGTAGAGTCAGTTTGGGTAGTATAGACATTTTAATGATATTGAGTCTGCCGATCCACCGAGATGGAATGGATTTCCATCTGTTTACATCCTCTGCTATTTCCTTCCTCAGTGTTTCATAGTTCTCCCTGTAGAGGTCTTTTACCTCCTTGGTGTAAATATATTCTAGGTACTTTAATTTCTTGTTGCTATTGTGAAGGGATTGAGTCTTTGATTTGGTTCTCAATTTGATTGTGTGGCGTATAATGTGCCTCTGTTTCTGTGTATTGATTTTGTTATCCTGAGACTTTACTAAATTCATTTATCAGTTCCAGGAGTTTCTTGGTTGAATCTTTGGGGTTTTCTAAATATAATATCATATTATCAGCAAAGAGTGAAAGTTTGATCTCTTCTGCCCCTATTTGGATACCTTTAATTCCACTTTCCTGTTTGATTGCTGTAGCCAGGACTTCTAGCACTATGTTGAATAGAAGTGGAGATAGTGGGCAGCCTTGTCTGGTTCCAGTTCTAAGTGGGAATGCTTTCAATTCCCCATTTCAGTATGATGTTGCTGATGGGGTCTGTCATATGCTGTGTATCATTTTTAGGTATGTTCCTCCTATGCCTATTTATTAAATATTCGTATCATTGAAAGGGTGAATTTTCAAAGCTTTTTCTGCATCTTATTGAAAGATCATGTGGTCTTGTTTTTGCTTGTTTCATGTGTGTGAATTGCATTTTATAGATTTACGTAATGTTGAACCATCCCTGCATCCCTTGATGAAGCCCACTTTGGTCGTGAGGGATTTTTTTTATAAGCGTCTGGATTCGGTTAGCTAAGATTTGTTGAAATTTTTGCATCTTATTTCATTAGGGATATTATTCTGTAGTTTCTTTTTTTGTTGCATCCTTTCCTGGTTTTGGTATCAGAGTAATATTCGCTTCATAAAGTGTCGGGAGGTTTCCGTTCTTCTCAATGTTGTGGAATAGTTTCTGCAAGAGTAGTACTAGTTCTTTGTAAGTGTGGTAAAATTCGGTGTGAACCATCTGGACCGGACTTTTCTTTTTAGGGAGATTTTTAATTGCTGTTTCTATTTCAGCTCTTGAGATTGGTCTGTTCAGGGAATCTATTTCTTCCTGGTTGAGCCTAGGGAGGCTGTGTGTTTCTAGAAATTTGTCCATTTCCTCCGCATTTTCCAGTTTGTGTGCATAAAGATTTTTGTAGTACTCATAAATTATATTTTGTATCTCTTTGGGATCAGTTGTGATATCTACTTTCTTGTTCTTGATGGAGCTTATTAGAGATTTCTCTTTTCTGCTTTTCGTTAGCTTAGCCAGTGGTGTGTCAATTTTGTTTATTTTTTCAAGGAACCAACTTTTTGTTTTATTAATCTCCTGAATAGCTTCCCTGTTTTCAATTTCGTTTAGTTCTGATTTGATCTTGTTGATTTCACTTCTTCTGCTGAGTTTGGGGCTGCTCTGTTCTTCTTTTTCCAGCTCTTGAGTCGTTTATTAGATTGTCTATTTGTGATCTTTTGACTTTTGGTTATAGCATTTATGGAGGTAAACTTTCTCTCAGAACTGCTTTACTGTGTCCCAGAGGAGTTGATAACTTGTTCTCCATTGTCATTTTCTTCATAGAATTTTTAAATTTCCATCTTGATTTCTTCATTTATGAAGTAATCATTTAGTAGGAGGTTGTTTAATTTCCACGTTTTTGGGTAGAAATGTGAGTTTCTGTTATGGTTGATTTCTACTTTTATTCCACTGTGAGGAATTTTAGTTTCTTAGTGGTAAAAAACTTGAAATTTTTTACATGGAATATTTACTTTTATGAAACAGTTATATATTTGACTGTTTTAATATAGCAACATAAGCCTGGAGACATGGGGTAGAATAAAAAAATCCATATAGGTTTAATATAATAGTCATTAAATTATCTCCAGGATGGGGCTTTTTTCTTTTGACATTGATTAGAAAATGTCAACTGCTATATTTATAAAATGGTGATACAACAGAAACTCCTTGTTTTTGTGGGAGAAATAATCTGCCAACAGACGCCCCTTCTGTATCAATATAAAAAAGAGAATGCAATTTATGAGTATATATTAACAGATCTGTATGTATGAAAGGTAACAAAATCTTTGTCCTGACTTTGTGGTAGCTGGATATACCATCTGAGGGAGGTGTTGCTGTGGTTTGGGGACCAATTTGGTGGCCAGTCAATAATAAAGAGCTTCCTTCTTGAAGTCCTGGCTGCTTTACTTTGCTGAAGTTTGTCTAGAGATATATGTCTCTTTTTAGGAAATGGAATCTCATTGTGTTGCCCAGGCTGGACTCAAATACCTGGGTTCAAGTGACCTTCTCACCTCAGCCTTCCAAGTAGCTAGGACTACAGGCACATGCCACCATGCCCAGCTAATTTTTTGATTTTTTGTAGAGATATAGTCTCTACAAGCTGGTCTGGAACTTCTGGGCTCAAGCGATCCTCCAGCCTCAGCCTCCCAAAGTGCTGGGATTTGGGCATAAGCCACTGTGCCTGCCACAAAATTTATTTTATAAAAGTATCCATTTATTGAGGGATACGATGACTCCAAATCATAGCATGCTATAGTATTTTTTAAAGATTCAAGATTATTTCTGGGGAAAAATCCTGAGACAGATTGAGGAAGGGCAAACACATATTCAATCAGAAAATGAATAAATGAAATAGTGAAACCTTCTAGGAAAATGAGAAGGGTATATGTCCAGTGCCTAGCCAAGTCCTATTAGAGCCCCAGGTGAAAGGGAAAATATATATCATTTATGTACTTTTATTAATTATTAATTTGTTAATGGCTAATTTTCCCTACAATATTAAAGCAGTTGAAAAAAATAGTGAAGAATTGAAAAGTGAGTATATTAAAACTCATAACATTGAGTTTAAATATAATATTGATGCCCAAACTAGAATTTATTACAATTTTACATTTCTGGCATTAATAGGAGCAAACATCAGTGATATTTTAAAAATATACTCATTTTTAATTGAGAGAATTACCATGTTTTACAGTTTTTCAACAGCCAGTGATTATCTTAAATAATTTGATTACTTTTAGCTTAGCTTAGATTTTACAGAATCCCATTGTGCCTGTTATTGTTAAAAAAAATACCAAAACCATTTAAAGACCACTTCTAAATTTAGAAAAGATTGCACGAAGCAAAATTCATGAATCAATTTTAGAAGATCAGAACACAATGGTGATTTTTTAAAATATCAATTGTTGACATTGCATGCTGCTTAAAATCATTGAAGATGACATTTCAAAAGGATTTAAATCATTAGAATATTTGCAAATTAACTCAGTGGCTGCTAATTGTAAATTAGATGTATTCAGTGAAAATAATTTTTCACCAATTAAAATCCAAGGACAGTTTGTTTTACATCTCCATTTCAAAGATGAACTTAGGATATCTATAATATCCTAGTATTTTTTAGTATGCCCATTTCTCATAATAATTGATAATTAAATCCAATTATTCATACATTTTCAATTTCTCTTTTATTCTTTAATTCAAAGGGCATATTCATATGTCTTGCTGAAGTCTTACATGCATGAAGCGTACTTTCAAAGTTTTCATTATGTTTCTGTTTGGATATACTATATAAATATTTATTGCTCCCTGTCTGCCTCTTATTTTTTAAATTCCTTTTTTCATTATATCTTTAACGTTTTCTGGGCTTTACCTGTTGCTTGGACACTGAGGTAAGAGACCCTTGGGCAGCATCTGAACCTTACGTATTTAACACGGGTCATTGAGGTCTTTATAGTTTGGTCCCATGACACAAGCAGGTCAGCGGTCTCTGGCTTCCTATGACCTTTACCCTCTGCACCAAGGGAAAATGTGACTCTTCAAAGCAAGAAACTTGAGGGCCTGAGTTTCCCCAGCCCTGGCTGCAGAACACGAGAAAGGCGAAACAACGATCTTCAGTTACCTCCCAGGACTAGCAGAGGCAGTGAACGCCTGTGGATTACCCAGCTGTGTCGCACACCCTGGACCCCATTTGAGGGGGAGTGAGGAGGACGATATGGAAATCTGTGTATGGGTACTAGGAAGGCAGATGCAGGTGACAGTTCCTGCCTTTACCTACCCAGCCTTGGCCCTAGGGTGGAGGGAGGGCAGTGGGTGTGCATGTGAATTTACACTGCATGGCCACCAGGTGGCACTGTGGCCTCGTCTGTGGCTCTGAAAATGACACTTTTTGAAGGATGATCATGACAGCCAGTATTTAACAACACAAATCATTTACCCCTCATGACAAACGAATGAGTTAAGGACTCTTATTACATCTCTTCTAGGTAAGGAAACAGAGGCATGACGAGGCTAATTAACTTGCACAGATTGCACAGCTAACAAGTGATGGAGCCAGAAAAGGAAGCAGGTGTCTCCAGAGCTTGCACTGATTCCACAAGCTATGTATGAGCATCTGTGTAATTACGTGGGGATATAATCGATAATATAAAAACTGTCAATTACCGACAGCTATTAAAGTTAACATTTCTTTCATTTGTGGGTTTCAGGCAAAGGTTAGTTTACATAATAACAGCGAAAATGATAATATTAATTATAATAATGACAATAGTAATAATTTTAAACTAGTTAGGCATTGTATATGTATTATCTCGTGGGTTTTTTTATACAAACCTAATGAACAATGAACTTTTGTTGTTCCCATTTCACACAGAAGGAAATTGAGGGTAAGAGAGATTAATTTTCCAAGGAATGGAGTAGAAATCGGAAGTATAAAAACTTCAATTTGGTTCTGTCCTTTTTCTAAAGCCCCTATGTTCTTAACCATTATAGGCTCAAACATCACCCTGTTTTTCCACTCATTAAATAAACTTTTACTGTTTAAACTATATCATAGGTTGTCACTCACCGAGAGCCTCCTCTGCTCCTGTTCTGTAGGAAGTGAAGGCATTTATTGTCCTGACCCCGTGCAGTTCCTGTCCCATTATCCAACCCAGCTCACCAAGTTGCTGCAGCAGCATGCGAAGTCCGAAGTCCAAGACGCCCCATACAAGTACCTGGGGAAGGTGAGTGAGGGCAGATGGGTGGGGTCTGGTGTTCCTGAGCAGCTCCTGGGACTCGGCTGCCCCGTGTCTCATAGGGTGGCCATGCAGGGGGAAGCTTAGGCAGCCAACAGCACTGGCTTTGTCCTCTGCCGAAGCAGCGGTTTGGCTTGGGGATGGGATGGAGGAGTTGATTTATTTGGATGGCAACTGCTATCCTGTGTCAGACTCAAAAAAAGGAATCACAGCAGGTGTGGGAAGAAATTCTGGAACTGATAATGTTAAAACCTTCCAATATATGTCCTTCTAATGGTCTTTATACTTTTTTTATTTTGGGGCGGATCTGTTATTGTTGCCCAATGGCTAGAGTGAATGCCAGCATCAGCCTAGCTCCAGAACCTCAAACTTCCTGGCCTCCAAGCCAATCCTACTGCCTCAGGCCCCTTGAGTAAGCTGGGATATATGCAGTGGTGGCACATGCCTGGCAATTTTTTTTTAGTATATAATGCCAATTATCTTTTTATATGTAGAGACGGGTCTCGCTCTTGCCTCAGGCTGGTTTTGACTCCTGACTCGGAGCAATGCTGCCTGCTCGGCCTCCAGGTGCTAGGATTACAGGGGGCTGATCCACCGCGCCGTGGCTCTAATGGTCTTTTATTCACTAGACAAAAGAAAATTTGTATTCTTCTTGGTGGCAGTCTATTGCAGTATTCCACCTTGCTCAGGAAGGCTCCACCAGCACAAAAGGGGACTAAGTGTCACAAGTGCCATGGACTTTCTTGCACTGTGGGCTCCTGGAGGTCAGAGCCTTGGAGCCAGGGCCCCTCCCGCCCTGATTGCAACTTCTGCCCTTCCTGTACCTTCAGCTGGGGCCCTAGTCCCTCATTTCCCCACCTTGGGCGGTCCCCCTGTTGTCCCTGACCTTACCCCTGCTATCTCTGTTCTTCAGGTCAGTTCCCCAGATTCTCTGCTCCACTCCCAGCTCTGCTCAGGGGTTCTCTCACCACTGACCTCTGCTCCATTCAACAAATCGTAGAAATAACAGAGGGATTCTGGGGCTCTCAGGACTTCTGAAAAATCTGTTCACTAGCTCTGTGCTTCCTGGAGCCTGGGTTTGAACTGGTGCTATTTGAGGCACTGGGTCTGTGGGGGAAGCGGCCTTGGAAAGTACTCCTACTGCTGCCCAAACCCCTGTTGGTCTTGTCATTCTGCTCATTATGGAGTCACACTATGGGGGTCAGAATGGCCCATCTGATTCACAGAGGGCGACAGCATGCTCCTGAATATTTCTAGAATGATGACACCAAGCTGACACAAGGTCCATCTGGACCCCGGCATCCAGTACGATCACAGGACTGCTTCTGCCGTGCACACCTTAGTGTCTGCGAATGCCAGTGGGGGTGCACGGGCAGCGGCCTCCGGCGCAGCATGAGCCGACAGGAGAACGGAAGTAAAGGGACCGGAGAGGAGTGATGAGGACAACAAGGCAAGAGGTTGACCCCCAGTGTATTGGCTCAGGTCCTTCAAAAGGGCGAAGTGAACTGGCCATGTTTATTGTTCTGCATAATTATTCCATAATGTATCTGTGCCCTGTGATACCGGTTCCGGCCGCAATCTGATTCTGTGTACAAAACAACTGTTTCGATCCGGTATACAGAGAGTTACCGATTCCAATTACCTCTGCTTTATCTGGGTGAGAACCATTAGCCAGGGCTTGCCTATCTCTGAAAAGAAATGGGGGGCACAAGCATTTTTTAGATATTTTTCACCTAAACAGTAGCTGAGCCAGCGAACTCTTGTTATATGTTGGTCTGAAATAGCTGTGTGTAAACAGGAAATTATTTAGTTTCTCTAAAAGTAAACAACATTTGAGGCTCTTCCCATAGCATCCACGGAGTTCTTTTCACACATCTGAAACAGTGAGCAGAAGAAGAAATCAAATCTTCTCTTTACATTCTAGAAACTGGCCTATGGTGGCGTAAGGAGCGGGTGGTGAAACTTCAGGCCTCCCTGCCATACGAGGATGGCCCAGCAGTACCAGTGAGCTCTGTTCCAGGCCTGCTGCTAAGAAAAGGAGAAGAAATGGTTTACAGCTGGATCCTTTTGTAATTTGGCTTCAGTCACAAATCATCTTGACCCCTTCACCCTCTAAATAGACCTGAGTTAGTGTTTTCTACTCTCTCTCCTCGGCTGTTGTTGGCCTTGTCCTTGGGAAAGTTAAATAAATTCTTTCCTATCTCCATGACTGGGCACTAGTAATTTTCCCAACAGTCAGTGGGTACTCACACATGACAGAGCGGACTTGAGCAGCCCACGACAGGTGGGTGTCGGCCTGAGGAGCGCGCACAGAAGGCTGAGGTACTTCACGGAAACTTCAGAAACAGCTTGAGTCAGGTGTCAGAGGTGTGCGGGCTGGAGCCGGATGAGACGTCAGGATGGCCTGCAGCTCCCGCCAGAGTTGCCCACTCTTCAAGCCAAGGCTCTCTCTGTCCGGACCCGTTCCCACTTGTTCTATTGGGGAACACACAAAAAGATCCGTGACAGACAAACAATCCAGGTCCAGGGATTTTAACACTGTGATCCAGACTTCACTCACGCAGGGAACAATCGTCTTTTCCTGTGATTATGGACTCCAGGGGCAGCAAGACTTCTGAGGTTATCGCGGACAGTTGCCGGCTCTCAAAAAATAAATAGCCAGGTTGTGCAGGCTGCGGCCGCCAGAACAGCTGTTCTGTCCCCATGTGAGCTCAGTAACCAATGGGGCCATTCTCCCCCTCCTTTTCCCTGGCGATCCTTCCCTTTGCACTCAGATTCCCTGCGCTGCTATGCAGTGACACAAGCTGTGTGCCTGGTGGCCTGTGTCCTCCTAACAGGCACGTGAAGGCCCTCACAGGCAGGGGGCAGGTTCTCACCCCTCACAGAGCAGGCACGTGGCCTCGGCTGCCTGTCTGGTCTGCAAACGAAATCTGGTTATATAAAACTCTTCCTTCTAAGGAGACACCTCGCCTACCCAGTCAATGATAGGAAAGATGCCACCCCGTGTGTGTCCGGAACCTGAGGAAGCATGAGTCTCCGCTTTACTGTACTGCCAGCCTGCAGCACTAGTGCGACGGTTTTGTTGCCTCAGTGACAGAAAGTGAACAAGCTGTACTAAGTCCTGTTCAGTCACCATACCGAATGGTGTGTTGAGTGGGGCTGAGTCTCAGAGGGCAGGTGGCGAGGAAGTGGCTCATGGTTCACTGAAGGTGGCCTTGGGCTTGTGGCGGTTCCTGGGATCGGGCACTCTGCATCAACTCACTGCAGAGAGAATGGTAAAGTTTGACCTGCTTTCAATGATGGACAAACACATAAAGCTGAGCCTCATTGAAGCAGGTGACCAGGCACTGACACCTTCCACCATCGAGCTTCAACAGCAATGCAGTGCCAACATCTTCCTCCCACTGGTCACCCGAACTGCTGGGAGTAAAGGAAATTGTCACAGTGACAACTGCTGTGACCACACGGCACTGCCTGTGTCTGCAAATGCAGGACGCTGGGCCTGTCCCAGGAAGACAGACAGGAACACCGAAGAAGAAGCATGTTCCAGACAGACGGCGGTCGTGTTCAGGCCACCCCTCCCTCCCACCTGCACGTTAGCTCCTCCTGCAACAGTCAGAACAGACACAAGTTAGAGGAAATGAACTCCACCTCCACGGTAGATCACAGTTGTCTTGGAGCTATTCACAGGTGGTTAATGTCCTGGTCTTTGATTCTCAGAATTCTGCAGGTCAGTTGACCATCCTGTCCTAACTCTAAGGGAACAGATGCTCCCACAGAGGAGAGGAGAATTCCTCCAGGCCACACAGCTTGCAGGGAGGCAGGCCGAAGGTCGATCCAGCTCCCCTGGCACCACCTCCCCCCCTCGTTCCCTCCTGGACAGTTTGTCCTGTCATGCAGGAGCCGCCCCTGTGCACGGACATCTCTGGGAGATGGATCTGAGTCCTCAGGAACGCACAGGCTGCAGACAGAAACAATGTTACCTTTATAAGGCACTTAGATGTGGCTATAAGATTTGTCTAATTCAAACAGATAATACCAAATTTTAAGTGCAATATACATAAAGAATAATTTTATGTAGAAATGAATAGGAATCTATAATGAAAGTTGAACAATTGTTGATTTCAGGGTACAAGTCCAGGAAGATGATCAGAGGATGCACGTCTGTTCACAGCTACACAGGACACAGGAAACCAACTTATGTGACTGTAAATTCAAGGCCTTTGTTTGGATTGTCCTGTAGGTGTACTTTATCTTCACTTTTGTCACTCCGATGTATCATTTCCTATACAAATTGGTGCCCTCCGAAATTCAGAATCTTGTCAACGAGCCACTGGAGGCTTCTGCATGCACAGTTACAGTGACATGGGACAGTGATGTGTCACAGAATTTCTACATGGAAGAACAACTCCAAATTGAACAGAGCCACAGGATAAAGTGGAGGGAATGAGTGCTTCACTTTTCATTTCTGAGCATTCAGCAGTTGTCTAAACAGTTAATCCCCTAACAAGCAAGGGAAGCAGTAAATAACAGCAACAAAGAACCACATTTCAGGGACCCAGCAACATTGTAAGCAAGGGGATCAGTCAGGGGCCCACTGTGCCATGAGACTTAAAGCCCTGGAGTTAGGTGGCATTCTCCTTGTGTTTTCTCCAGAAACACAGCAGTGAACACCGTTCAGCACCCAGTCCTTGGCCTGTGTGCGTTTAAGGCTTCCGGAAGAGTCACCAAAGGATGAGGGGAATGGAGAAGCCTGTAGGTCCCTGGGGAAGGTTTCCATTTTTGGCAAGTAAAGGCAAAGAAAAGATGTCACAGACACTTGTGACACAAGAGATGAGGCCACAAGAAGGTGCTGTAGGTAAAGAAAACAGTTTCCTGAGATAGTTACAGTGAAGATGACCACAGCACTTACCTTTTGCTTCTGTGTGTTTGTGGCCGGGATCCCACTGCTGGTCGGCCTGGGCACAGACTGAGGTCCCGAATCCGCTAAAGGACAGAGAAGGGATGAGGGCTCATTTTGACTTTCTTGTTTGGGGCAGACTGAGAGGACTGTCTGTCCTGAACCTGGGTCCCTCACCACAGGCACAGGGTTTACCAGATGCCTCAGTGACCCTGAGCCCCTGGCCCTCATGCTTGAGGAGGACACCACAGAGCCCGGGTCCAGGTGTTTCCTTACATCAACCAGCTGGGGACAGGTCAGGGCTCCAACTAGCTGGAAATCAGCATAAAATTGATAGCTTCCCGATGCATATCAGGGGACATCGTTTACAATTCAAGCACACATGAAAAATTAAAATAAGAACAGCCTTGGATGGGAAGAACATTAGTAAACCCTACACATGGACAGCATTGGGTCCTTTTCCTCATACTGTGAGACATTTTAAAAAATCTCTTGATCTATATTTAATCTGTCTCCCAAATATCTCCAGATATTATAAATATTTATGTCCAGAAATGGACAATATCATAGTAATGAGAAAAGGAAGAGCTACAGGAACTGACCGTAAAGTTTTGGGGTTATATCTACAAGGTCAGAGGAATGAAATTACATAAATATTTAATTTACTAATAGAGTTCTACAGTTCACAATAAACAATGAAAAAAGTACAAAAAGAATATAGGAAGCTCTAAAAATACCAAATAAATGTCTCTTGTCTTTTTTTTTTGAGACAGAGTCTTACTCTTTGCCTGGGGTAGAGTGCCATGGTGTCAGCCTAGCTCACAGTCAGAACCTTCACTCACGCAGGGAACAATCGTCTTTCCTGTGGATTAGGACTCAAGGCAGCAAGGACCTTCTGAGGGCTTAATCGCCAGGAAACATGTGCCACTGAGCTCCTCACATGGCCCCAGGCTCCTGTGCAGGCTGCGGGCCTGCCCAGAACAGCTGTCCTGCTCCTCCCATGTGAGCTCAGCACCAACCAGTGGCTGCTCCCCACTTCTCCCCTCTGGTTATCCCTGGGACTCCCTCTCCTTGTTGCACTCAGGAACTTCCCTGCGGCTGCCATTGCAGGTGACCAAAGCTGTGTGCCCTGGGTGCCTGTGTCCCTCCTACAGGACACGTGAGCCCTCACAGGCAGGGCAGGTCTCACCCCTCACAGAGCCAGGCACGTGGCCTCGGCTGCCTGTCTGTCTGCAAAACCGAAATTCTGGCTTATATAAACACCTCCTCCTCACAGGAGACACCTGCTACCCAGCTCATGATAGGGAGAAGATGCCACCGTGTGTGTCCCCGGAACCTGAGGAAGCACTGTGTCTCGGCCAGCTTTACCCTTGTACTGCCAGCCCTGCAGCACTAGGTGCGACATGGTTTTTGTTGCCTCAGTGACAGAAAAGGTAACAAGCTGTACTAAGCTCACCCTGTCAGTCACCATACCGAATGTGGCTGTTGGAGGTGGGGGCTGAGGTCTCAGAGGCAGGATGGGCGAGGAAGTGGCTCATGGTTCCTGAAGGTGGGCTTGGCATGTGGCGGTCCGGGACTCCAGGGGCCTCTTGCATCCTCCACGCAGAGAGAAAATGTAAGTTTGAAACCTGCTCCATGATGGACAAAACACACATAAAAGCTGAGCTCATGAAGGCAGGGTGACAGACCATGACACCTTCCCCACCATCGAGCTTCAACCGCAATGCCAGTGCCAAAATCTTCCTCCCACTGGGTCACCCCGATGCTGGGAGTAAAGGAAGTCACAGGACAAACTGCTGTACCACACGGCACTGCCTGTGTCTGCAAATGCAGGACGCTGGGCCTGTCCAGGGAAGAGCAGACAGGACACACGAGGAGAGCATGTTCAGACAGACGGGCGTCGTGTCAGGGCCACCCCCTCCTCCCACTGCACAGTAGCTCCTCCTGCAACAGTCAGAACAGACACAAGGAGAGGAATGAAAACTCCACCTCCACGCGTGATCACAGCTGCTCTTGGGAGACTTTCCACAGGTGGTTAATGCTGCTTTGTTCTCGGAATTCTGCAAGGTCAGTGTGACCATCCTGTCCTAACGTCTAAGGGACAGATGCTCCCAGAGGAAGAGAGATCTCCAGGGCCACACAGCTTGCAGGAGGCAGAGCCGAAGTCGGTCCAGCTGCCCTGCGCACCCCTCCCGCCCCTTTCTTCTTCCTCCTGGACCAAAGGTCTTGGTCCTGTCTGCAGGAGCCGCCCTGTGCACGGACATCTTCTGGAGATGTGGATTCCTGAGTCTCAGGAACGCACAGGGTTGCAGACAGAAACAATGTTACTTTATAAGGCACTTAGATGTGGCTATAAGATTTGTCTTAATTCACAGATAATACCAAATTTTAAGTGCAATATGACATTAAAATATTTGTATGTAGAAAATGAGATAGGAATCTAATAATTGAAGTTGAACAATGTGTTTTTGATTTCAGGTGCAAGTCCAGGAAGATGATCAGAGGAGGCACCGTTGTCACAGCGTGACGACAGCACAGGGAGAACCAACTTATGTGACTGTAAATTCAACGCTTTAGTTTGGAATTGGTCCTGTAAGGTTAGTAAACTTTTACTTCACTTTGTCACCTCGAGTGTATATTTCCTGATTACCAAATTGGTGCCCTCCGAGAATTCAGTAATCTTTCAAGCACCACTGGAGGCTTCTGCATGGCACAGTTGACCAGTGCATGGGACAGTTGAGTGCACAGAATTTTGCTACATGGAAGAACATCAAAACTTGCAACAGAGCACACAGGATAAATTGGAGGGATGAGTGCTCACATTTTCATTTCTGAGCATTTTACAGCAGATTGTCTAAACAGTAATCCCCTTAACCCAAGCAGGAAAGCAGTAAAATAACAACAGCAACAATAAAAACCACATTTCTGTGGCCAGTCTATGCAGTAATTCCCACCTTGCTCCAGGGAAGGCTCCACCCAGCCACAAAGGGGGACCTAAGTGTCCAAGTGCCATGGACTTCTGCACTGCTGGGCTCCTAGGAGGTCAGAGCCTTGGAGCCCAAGGGCCCCTCCCAGCCCCTGATGCCAGGACTTCCTGCCCTTCCTGTACCTTCCAGCTGGGCCCCTCAGTCCCTCACTTTCCCCACCTTGCAGGCTCCCCCCTTTGCTCCCTGCCCTCTACCCCCTGCCTATCTCTTTCTCAGGCTCAGTCCCCCAGATTCTCTGCTCCACTCCAGCTCTGCTCAGGGGTCCTCTCACCACTGACCTCTGTCCATTCCACAACGTAGAAATACAGAAGGATTCTGGGGCTCTCAGGACTTCTGGAAAAATCTGTTCCTAGCTCTGCTTCCCTGGAGCCTGGTTGAACTTGGTGCTATTGAGGGCCACTGGGTCTGTGGGGGAAGGGCCTTGAGAAAGGGGGGTACTCCTCACTGGCTGCCCAAACCCCTGCTGGTCTGTCATCTCTGCTCCATTATGAGAAGTCACCACCTCATGGGGTCAGAATGGCCCATCTGATCACAAGGCACCCAGGACTAGCAGGCAGCAGGTGCTCCCTGAATATTTCTAGAATGAACCAGCACCATCACCACCCAAGTCTTGACACAAGGTGCTCCCACCACCCCTGCAGACCCCTTGGGTCACTCCCAGTACTGACAACCCCACAGGTGACCCTGCTTCTGCCTGCACCACCTTAGTGTCTGCCCGAAATGCATGTGCAGGAATCACTGTGTGCACCCTGGGGGTCAGCGGGTCCTCCAGGCAGCAGACACTGAGCCAGACAGAGAGAACTGGAAGGTTTATTAGGGGAAACCCTGGGAAGGATGTGAGGGGATGAGGGAGCATCGGGCTCGGAACAAAGTGGGAACACACGAAGGTCTGACCCCATTTCCAATACGCTTGATGGTATCTGGGCTCAGGGTCCTCTTCAAATTTCAAAATGGTTGTCCTGTAAGGTGAACAGATTTTGGTTTATTTCCATGTCATCTTATTTGTTCTGCAATACATTTTATGTCCTATAATGTATCTGTGCCCCTGACGAATACTTCTGTGTCCGGCCGCATCTGCATGTCTGCATGTCATCAAAAACAACTGTCTTCAGATCTCAGGTATACAGCACTGAGGTTACTTGTGTACACATTCCCAAAATTACCTTTCCTGCCTTTATCTGGTAGGATCTGAATTTTAACAGTAGACAGGGGGACTTTGCCTTATCTCTGAAAAAGAAAATAGAAATATCTGGGCTGTGCTGCTACCCACTAAGATTCAGCATCTTTTGATGATATTCTGAGTGGAAATATTTTCACCTAAACAGTGAGGGGCTGAGGGCCCAGCATGGACCAACCATCTTGTTCTTTATATGCTTGGTCTCTGAAAGGATAGCCTTGCTAGTGAAATAACAGGAAAAAATTATGTAGTTTCTCGGTAAGAGTTAAAATCAACCATTTGAGCTCTCTCCCTAATAGGCACTCCACGGAGTTCTCTTTTCACAACATCTGAAAACAGGTGAGCAGATAGAAAGGAAATGCAAATCTTTCTCTTTTACATTTTCTAGAAACTGCTTTTGAGAATGGCTTTTAGATCCCTAAAGAGTTCCTGAATGGACAGTAAGGGAGGCGGGTGGGATGAAAGCTTCAGGCCTCAGTTCCTGCCCCAAACCGCATCTTAAGGGCCAAATAACAGACAAGGTTGCCATCCCCAGCAGTAAGCCTTTCTCCAGGGCAAAGGCAGCTGCTTCTGTTACCAGCCTGCTGCTAAGAAAAGGAGAAGAAATGGGTTTTACAGCTGGATCCTGTTAATTTGGCTTCAGTCACAAATCATCTTGACCCCTTTACACCCTCTAAATAAGAAGCCTGAGTAGCTGATTTTCTACACCAACACTCCTTCCCTCCTTCGCTGCTGTGTTGGCCCTTTGTCCTTGGGGAAAAGTTAAATAAACTTTTCTTTTATTCTATCCTAATCTCTGTGTAAGAAATTTTTCTCCACCCATGCCATGGGCACCTAGTAAGTTTTCCACCCCAACAGTGTCCTTGTCTTCACAATGTCCTCAGACAGCAACACTGTCCCCGGCTCACACATGACAGAGCAGAGGCTCTGAGCAGGCCCCACAGACAGTGGGTGTCGGGGCCTGAGGCAGCAGCGCACAGGGAAGGCTGAGGGTACTTCACGGAAACTTCCAGAAAGCAAAGCTGAGCATCAGTGGTGGCTCCCAGAGGGTGCTGGGGCTGAGCCAAGAGACAGCTCAGGATGGGCCTGCAGCTCCCGCCAGAGTCTGCCCCACTCTCAAGGCCAAGGCCTCTTCTCTGCTCACGAGACCCGTCCTCACTTCTGTTCTCACTGGGCCGCACTAAACTCAGGCACAAAAGGTCTCGTGACAGACACAAGATACATCTCCCAGACCCCAGGGCATTCTTAACACTGTGATCTAGAACCTTCACTCACGCAGGGAACAATCGTCTTTCCTGTGGATTATGGACTCCAAGGGCAGCAAGGACCTTCTGAGGGCTTAATCGCCAGGAAACATGATGCCACTGAGCTCCTCACATGGCCCCAGGCTCCTGTGCAGGCTGCGGCCCTGCCCAGAACAGCTGTCCTGCTCCTCCCATGTGAGCTCAGCACCAAGTGGGGCTGCTCCCCACTTCCTCCCCCTCCTGGTTATCCCTGGCGACTCCCTCTCCCTTGTTTGCACTCAGGGAACTTCCCTGCGGCTGCCATTGCAGGTGACCACAAGCTGTGTGCCCTGGGTGGCCTGTGTCCCTCCTACAGGACACGTGAAGCCCTCACAGGCAGGGGCAGGTCTCACCCCTCACAGAGCCAGGCACGTGGCCTCGGCTGCCTGTCTGTCTGCAAAACCGAAATTCTGGCTTATATAAACACCTCCTTCCTCATCTACAGGAGACACCTGCTACCCAGCTCATGATAGGGAGAAGATGCCACCCCGTGTGTGTCCCCGGAACCTGAGGAAAGCACTGTGTCCTCGGCCAGCTTTACCCTTGTACTGCCCAGCCCTGCAGCACTAGGTGCGACATGGTTTTTTGTTGCCTCAGTGACAGAAAAGGTGAACAAGCTGTACTAAGCTCACCCTGTCAGTCACCATACCGAATGGTGGCTGTTGAGGTGGGGGCTGAGGTCTCAGAGGGCAGGATGGGCGAGGAAGTGGCTCATGGTTCCTGAAGGTGGGCTTGGGCATGTGGGCCGGTCCTGGGACTCCAAGGGGCCCTCTTGCATCCACCTCCACCTGCAGAGAGAAAATGGTAAAGTTTGAAACCTGCTCACATGATGGACAAAAACACCAATAAAAGCTGAGCCTCATGAAGCAGGTGACAGACACTGACACCTTCCTCACCATCGAGCTTCAAACCAGCAATGCCAGTGCCAAAATCTTCCTCCCACTGGGTCACCCCGACTGCTGGGAGTAAAGGGAAGTCACAGGACAAACTGCTGTGACCACACGGCACTGCCTGTGTCTGCAAATGCAGGACGCTGGGCCCTGTCCCAGGGAAGAGCAGACAGGACACACCGAGGAAGAAGCATGTTCCAGACAGACGGGCGTCCGTGTCAGGGCCACCCCCTCCCTCCCACCTGCACAGTAGCTCCTCCCTGCAACAGTCAGAACAGACACAAGGAGAGGAATGAAAACTCCACCTCCACGCATGATCACAGCTGCTCTTGGGAGGACTTTCCACAGGTGGTTAATGTCCTGTCTTTGATTCTCAGAATTCTGCAAGGTCAGTGTGACCATCCTGTCCTAACTCTTAAGGGAACAGATGCTCCCAGAGGAAGAGAGAATCCTCAGGGCCACACAGCTTGCAGGAGCAGAGCCGAAGTCGATCCCAGCTCCCCCTGCGCACCCTCCCGCCCCTCTGCTTCCCCCTGGACAAAGGTCTTGTCCTGTCTGCAGGAGCCGCCCTGTGCACAGACATCTCTGGAGATGTGTATCCTGAGTCCTCAGGAACGCACAGGCTGCAGACAGAAACAATGTTACCTTATAAGGCACTTAGATGTGGCTATAAGATTTGTCTTAATTCACAGATAATACCAAATTTTAAGTGCAATATGACATAAAGAATAATTTGTATGTAGAAAATGAGATAGGAATCTAAATAATGAAGTTGAAACATGGTGTTTTGATTTCAGGTGTACAAGTCCAGGAAGATGATCAGAGGAGGCACCGTTGTCACAGCTACACAGACCACAGGAGAACCAACTTATGTGACTGTAAATTCAAGGCCTTTGTTTGGAAGTGTCCTGTAGTGAGTAACTTTTACTCTTCACTTTTGTCACCTCCATGTTATATTCCTATTACAAATTGGTGCCCTCCGAGAATTCAGAATACTTGTCAAGAGCACCACTGGAGGCCTTCTGCATGGCACAGTTACCAGTGACATGGGACAGTGATGTGTCACAGAATTTGCTACATGGAAGAACACTCAAAATTGAACCAGCACACAGGATAAGTGGAGGGATGAGTGCTCACATTTTCATTTCTGACGCTTACAGCAGATGTTCTAAACAGTTAATCCCCTAACCCAAAGCAGGAAGCAGTAAAATAACAACAGCAACAATAAAAACCACGTTTCAGGGACCAGGAACAACTTGTAAGCAGAGGGATCAGTCAGGGGCCCACTGTGCCATGAGGACTTAAAGCCCTGGGAGTTAGGTGCATTCTCCTTGTGTTTCTCCAGAAACACAGCAGTGACACCGTTCAGCACCCAGTCCTTGGCCTGTGTGCGTTTAAAGCTTCTCGAAGAGTCACCAAAGATGAGGGAATGGAGAAGCCTGTAGGCCCTGGGAAGGTTTCATTTTTGGCAAGTAAAGCAAAAAAAGATGTCACAGACACTTGTGACACAAGAGATGAGCACAAGAAGGTGCTGTAGGTAAAGAAAAACAGTTTCCTGAGATAGTTACAAGTGAAGATGACCACAGCACTTACTTTTGCTTCTGTGGTGGGGCCGGATCCACTGCTGGTCGGCCTGGGCACAGACTGAGGGCCCAAATCCATAAAGGACAGAGAAGGGATGAGGCTCATTTATGCTTCTTGTTTGGGCAGACTGAGAGGACTGTCTGTCCTGAACCTGGCCCTCACGCAGGCACAGGGTTTACCAGATGCCTCATGACCCTGAGCCCCTGGCCCTCATGCTGGAGGAGGACACCACAGAGCCCGGGTCCAGGTGTTTCTACATCAACCAGCTGGGGACAGGTCCGGCTCCACAAGTAGCTGAATCAGCATAAAATTGATAGCTCCCGATGCATATCAGGGGACATCGGTTACAATTCAAGCACACATGAAAATTAAAATAAGAACAGCCTTGGATGGAAGAACATTAGTAAACCTACACATGGACAGCATTGGTCCTTTTCCTCATACTGTGAGACATTTTAAAATCTCTTGATCTATATTTAATCTGTCCTCCAAATATCTCCACGATATTATAAATATTTATGTCCAGGAATGGACAATATCATAGTAATGAGAAAGGGAAGAGCTACAGGAACTGACATAAAGTTTGGGGTTATATCTACAAGGTCAGAGGCAATGAAATTACATAAATATTTAATTACTAATAGAGTTCTACAGTTCACCAATAAACAATGAAAAAAAAGTACAAAAAAAATATAGGAAGCTCTAAAATACCAAATAATGTCTCTTGTCTTTTTTTTTTGAGACAGATCTTACTCTTTGCTGGGGTCAGGTGCCATGGTGTCAGCCTAGCTCACAGCAACCTCAAACTCCTGGACTCAAGAATCCTCCTGCCTCAGGCTCCCAGAGTGCTAAGAATGTCTCTTGTCTTAAAGCGGATCTCATCGTACAGTGATCTCATACAGCGGATCTCATCATACGGATCTCATTATCCAGAAAGACACAGCAAGAAAGTGTCCTGTGTCATCAGCACTACCAGCCCCCATTCCACGAATGTGCAGTGTTCATCTTTCTCAAATAAAAGGAAAATGAAGCTGTCCACACAGACTGGAGGAGGGAGGCAGAGCTGGCCCACTTCCCTTCTAGGCTGTGTCTTCAGTCGGAGTAAACCACAGCTCAGTGTGGGTGGGGGGTGTCCAAAGTCATGGACAGGCCAGAGCCACCAGTGGCAGGGACCCACAAGTGCACCTGCCTCAGGCACCTGACCAAAAGTGTCCCGCCACCTGAGAGACTCCATCCCCTTTAGTAAAACTCGGGCTGTTTCCAGGGCACAGAACAGTTGCCCGGAAGGAGCAGCAGAGCGTGTGCTTCGTGCAGCACAAGCTGAGCTGCGCGCTCCGCGCGAGCCCCACCTGTGCGTGGGAGTCTGGCTGTCCGGCGACCTTCGTGCAGCTGTCTCCATCCGTATGCCCCTTGCGGCTTCTGACTCCGTATAATTTCCAATCTCAAAAATACAGAAAGAATGTACTTGAATAAGAGCTAGAACACTCAGTGCTTAAACGCCCACAGTTTCATCTTTTTTTTTTTTTTTTTCTCTAAAGCCTGTAGAGTATACAGTTCACTTAAAACAGCAAAAGTATCCTTAAAAATGTCCCTCACGCTCACTCACCTGCACCTCAAGCGGGCAGCCTCCTGGGTCTCTTCCACTTTCTCCCTCAACAAAGCTTGAGTTTTCAGCTGTGGGAGAAAAACGCTTCTGCGTCCTGCTCTGGCAGACTATGCACAAAACCAAGGAAGGGAAAAAATCTTACCCAGTACTCTTGAGCTGCCAGTTCACAATGGGGGGGCGGCGCGGTGGACTGCGCCGGGTGATCTGAAAAGCCAACACAGAGAAACCGTGTGTTTGCGGTGTCTTGGGCCATTCAATCACCGTTGGGTGCGGAAGGATCCTGCCACCGTCAGGCAGAACACACGTTACCTGGAGTCTGTGGTTGAGCTCTGCCAGGTGCTGCTGTTTTTTCAGCTCTTCAATGATTTTTCTATGAGTAGATTTGGTTTCATCAGGTAAAGCACAATACTGAGTATGATTTTAAACAATCTGCCCATGTTCCCATTACCCTCACCTCTGTGTCCTTACACAATTTATCCATACACGGAAAACACCTTTCACGTGACCCTAGAAGTACAGTAGGATCAAAACTGTTGCTGTATAGATTCCTTATCAATTATTTAATGCCAGCCAGGTTCTGAATTGACATAATTTCCTTCCCCATTCTCAGTGTTTCCTTAATTTATCCTTCACTGAGTATCTTTTATCATAAAGCTCTATGCTCCTCATACTAATGTCCCTACCATATTTCACAGGGCAGTGGTGACTGGGTTTATAAAGTGGCACAATCATTTTCATGGATGTGGTTCATCCTATAGCTGAAAGCTTTCCTAAGGATTATGACAATTTTCATCATCCCTAGAAATGTTTGTGCCAATCAAGTTTTCACTCCCTCTGGCCAGCAGTAGGGATCAGGAAATGTCTAGTAACTCAACATGTTAGGTTACTTGTAAAACTTTAAGGTGCTTTGTTTTGCTTAGTGAACTCTCTATGTATATATCCTCTGACCATTTATTTATATTTCTGTAATGAGTCTAAACATTGCACAACACTTAAAAAAATTCCAATAGTAGTTTGCTGAGAGGCTAGTGTTCACTCTCTGAACTCACTTGTAGGTCTCTATTTCTTCTGCAGCCCAGTTCAAGTTTTTCTCCGCCTGTGACAACTGTCTCTTTCTTTGTGCCTGCTGAAGTTTTTTTATTCTCAGTTTCCTGAGATGGGAGAGAAATGCATGTTATCCAGTAGCCCATATGGAATTCTGCCTTTCTCCAGTCCCAGCATGTGAAGGCTGGGACTCAAAGGTTCCCTGCCACCTTCCCTAAATGTAAAGACTGACAATCACAGCCAGAGGGAGAACTGAAGCTTCCCACTGAGGGGCAAAGGGAAATCAAGCTCTGGCCCTCTGGCAAGTCCGTTCCGATTCTGAGCTCCTACTAGTCTTACCTGTCTACCTTTATTCATTAGTAAAAAGTCAAGGAATATCAAAAGCACCTGTGACATGCACAATGTACCCTTCTGGGGTCAGTCTCTTGCTTGAGACAGTGAGATTTCATTTCATTGTCATGTGGAGCCAGCCCTGACCAACTCATCACAACTAGACACATCAGGGTGGAGCTGGGCATCGGTAGTTGTCTGAGCCCTCCCATGGGGAGACCTGATTCTCAGTCAGAGGCTGAGCCAGGACCCAGACAGTCAGCCTCAGAGAGATCCCTGCAGGACACGGAGTCATCAGTCCTGCAGTTCACTATGGGACATTTCTCTGATTCAGGATCGGAACTCTTATCACCTACTGCTAGGGTCCTGGTTGAGGGAAAAGACCAATCTTAGTGCCGGCTACATATACTGAACCAAAAATGATCTGAAAGTCTCCATAGTCAGGTGTTAACCTCCTTTAAAGAATTTACAAGTGGAAAGCCATTCGGCTTGGTGTTCATTAGCACAAGGTTGAGTTCATATAAAGTGGAGGCAGAAAAGGGCAACGACCTCAAAGCTAGACTTGCTGTGTTGCTCTCAGACTGCTTCATTCATGATTCTGCTCCAAAGGATGTCATTTGATAGTTACTTTAATAAAGAGGATGCATAAAACGGAAAGAACTCTAGGGAACAGGGACAAAAGCATTAGGAGAGAAAGTTCATGCATTTGTTTGTGGCCACCCAGGAAATGCCTCAGCAAGTGCTGTCCGAGAGCTGGAATGCAGTGGGTGCAGTGCAAGGTGCTGTGGACACAAAGGGGAGCAGGGCGCTGTCCCCACCCTAAAGGAGCTCACAGCTTTATGCAAAGGAGCAGCAGTGAGGACATGGCTGCCCCTGCTGTGGACGTGGGAAGAAATAACAGAGGACCTGAGTGTTGAGGGAAGGTGAAGAAGGATTCTGCTGTGGAATATGGATGAGTAAATCTGCAGCCCCTGACCTCCTCTGAGAGCAGTAGGAAACACAGGGCTCAATGCGTCAGATTTGGTGAAATGTATGAATCATTATACATGGCTGTAAAGAAACATGAGGCAAAGAGAGACAAGGAGGCCTAAGGTCAGCCTGGCATTTGGGGCCAATTTCCCCTAGTTTCATCAATGGCTCCAAGAAGAGACCTCTGAGATGCAAAGAACCTGAGCACCTTCCACACACATGCACAGGTGTAGAAGGAAACAGCGGAGTTCAGAGTCTGATAAAAAAAAAGTGACTGCCCACTAAAGTCACTTTGTCTTTGGTTGGGATCCAAGAAGAGCTGTGCACTAGGAGTGAAGGTGGACAGAAAACACAGTGGCCTTTGTTGAGACTGAGTCAGCAGTGAGTGACCTCATTGCTGGCTGGGTTAAATGGACCCAGTGCTGCCAGTGATCCTGACAACCTGCTGGAGGTAAACCCTCATTGTCTCTGCAGCAGGATAACATTGTACTAGGTCTCAATTTATGTCTAAATATTTTTTACCCAGTGTCTTCCATTTCGTAAAAACTGAGTACACATATCACAGGAGAATCCAATGGGATATGAGGGAAACCTAAAATATTATATAAATGGATCCAGATATTCAAGTTAAACAATGTTGGTCTCACTACCCCCTCAAGTCCCAAGTAAATAACAAAGAGTAAGGAAAAGAAAGAAACGGAGATTACAGAAATCAAGGCAGGGTTGACAAGCACAATTCTTTGCCTAATGAATTAGCCACAAATATTGCAAAGCCCATCCTAAAGGAAACCACAATTGTCTACACAGATCCACACATTGTTCACACCACAAACGATTGGTATCAATGAGCACAGGAACATCTTACTCTGCTACTGCAGCTGCTCTGCGTCGAAACATTTCGTAACGGTTGTCCACTTCCATCTGCAGCATTCTGATTTTATTCTCCTTTTCTCCTTTCCTATTTCCCAATTCTGAACAGTTCTTTTGCAACTTCATAATAATTTCTAGGAAGGAGAAGACAGGTTTCTTTGTGTGTGTGCAGGAGGACCTGAAAACTCGGTTGGGGTGGGGGAAGGAGGTGAGAATCCTGCAGGCAGGAAGCCCGTCTTCACCGTCCAGGGAAAACTCATTTCCACTCTCTGGGGACTTCCTCCCCACAAGTAGCATACCTTCCAGGCGACACTTACTGGACCTTTGGGCTCTCAGATTTGAGTCTTCCAGTTTGTCCTTTACATCTCCTGACTTTAAGACAGATTTGAGAAAAGTGGTTTAAGAAGTAATGATTGCACAACAACGTGAGCACACTTAACACTACTGAACTGTGCACTTGAATGTGGTTAAGATGGTGATTACCATGTGATGAATATTTTACTACAGTGAAATTTTTTTTAATTAGAAAATGACATAATTATGTTTAGTTCTCCGAATTATGTAATCTGTGGGTGAATGTTTTTGTCACCTGCTCCCCTTGCCATTTAGCTGTACATTTTCCTGCTGTCCCTGCCTCCTCCAGATTGCAATTTCCCTTCCCTGACACCAGCTTCATTAAGGGTGATTTGAACATAACACAAAACACTCTCACTAATGACTTAACTCCCAAATGCAAACTACTCTCACTAGTGACTTAACTCCCAAATGCAAACCACTCTCACTAGTGACTTAACTCCCAAGAATGAAAATTCCATGTCAATGTGATATGATTATGACCTTTTAAGACCTGAAAAATTTGTTTTTCATCAAAGCTAAGGCATATTTTATAAATGAAACATTAAAAAAATCTACCACAAATTCCCACTGAAAATACTTTCTTCAGCACTAAGAGAAATAGGGACTGTTCAATTTGGCTAGATGTCTTCCTTCATGTGTCATGTATTTTCTCAGTTGAGGGAGTGCTAAATCATGTAATAATTACCCAGGCTATAAAAATAAAATACTGCTCCTGTGTATATAAAAAGTTGTTGTGGTGTCAGTACATTAATTCCAGATCATTGTTTAGAAAAGGGTTCAGCCTCCAGACACTGCCACTTTTACTATGGTGAACAGCAGGAGAAAATGTAGAGCTCTGTTCACTCAAGGGACAAAAAGGCTCAAAGGCACAATAATGGTCACATTTAACAGCCAAGTTCTTACCAAGTTCAGATTTTTGACATTCTGACCTCCCTCAATTTAAGCCACTTGTCATCACCTCCCCCAGAGCTCAAAGGATCTTTGTCCCAGGCCAATTGTTTCTTGTTTGGGCTCATTCATTTCCCTGGAAAAGCATTTGCCCACCCTGTAAATGCCTAGATCTCCATCTTCCTCTCCCTTATGAAGATGCTGCTCTTTAAGCTTCAACCATCTGACCCTTCTTTGAGTCTCATATTTTGCATGGCACCCATGTTTATGCATGTTATTAAGTTTATATGCTTTTTTTCTCCTGTGAAGCTGTCTATTGTTAGCACATTTCAGCAGTGGACCTTCAGAAAGCACAGACGTTTTTCCCTTCCTGCCTACACTAACATTAAAAATATGAAAAGTTTAGAAAGAATTCCATACTTAAGTGGTGATAGTTCCAGAACCATCTTTGAGAAAGAGCACAAAGGTAAATAACTTATTTTTGCTCCCAAATGTTTGTATTCTAGTAAATGAACATCAACCATATAATTTTTATAATGGAAATGGGAGATATTTTATAATTTTTATGCTAATGAGTCATTTGGCCAATTTTTTGTGTGTGTCGGAAACCTAGTATCACTAAAGAAGTCTTGAACTAGGGATTGTTTTAAAAGAAAAGGCAGAATCTTTGCACTAAAATATGCCTCTTGTATGTACCACAAGGTCCCTTAGAAATC